GAGGAAATCATGGATTCCTGGGTATGAATCCTTTTTTAAGACCTGAGTTAAATAAACCATTTTCATGCTAGACAAGCAGAGGAAAAAGGAACTGAAGTAAACTTTGCTGCTTCATCAGGTACAAAAGAAATGACTCCACTTGGCTTTAGAAAATAAATACATATTCACAAAAATAAGTTTTCATTAAAAAAATCATAAGCAATGTTTTCCAGTTCATCTAAACACTCTCTTTTAAGGTTTAGCTGTAGAGTGGTAATACGTGCAGAAGAGAAAAATTAGCAGGAAAAGCAATGTATGCATAAAATAAAAATGTAAGTGGTATGTTCTCAAATACCCAGGAACAACATCATTCTTTTTTTTTTTTAAACTTATTTATTTTTGAGAGACAGATCATGAGCAGGGGAGAGGCAGAGTGGGAGAGAGACACAGAACTGGAAGCAGGCTCCAGGCTCTGAGCTGTCAGCACAGAGCCTGACACAGGGCTCGAACCCACAAACCGTGAGATCATGACCTGAGCTGAAGTTAGACCCTCAACTGACTGAGTCACCCAGGTACCCCAGTAACAACATCATTCCTAACCTGATCATAAAGTTCACATATTTTAAGGAAATTACTTATTTCAAAATCTATAATATAAAAGATGCTTTAAAACATTAGTTTGCCTTCTTTCACATTAGAAACCCACAGCCACTTAATTCACTGAGTTTTCTAGATGCAACAAATAGAGAAAAACAGCAATTATTTAGTTAGGTAGGGTTTAACAGGAAAAACAGGCTAAGTATTAGGAGCATTTAACAGATAGGACAGTTAGAAAACATTGCTAATTCCTAAAATGTCATAGGTACTGTCATTTCAAATGTCAAAAGACCAGTGTCAATAAAGGTGACAATATTTGTCACATACTGCTCCAGCAATTATTCCTATGGGCAAAAGGAAAAATAAACTTAATGTGTCAGTATTTTGACAGACACATACTATCTTTCCTTTCCACATGGCTAATGATGACAAACAGGAAGTAGTAAAAGATGGCAGGGAGGAGTGATGTGATGGCAAAAAGTTTCCATCTCCAAACATGTCAGCCAATCTCACAACTGTGATTGAAACAATGTAAGAAATCTCGAGCAGTTGTAATATTCAGAAGTTTTGCATGATGTATTTCTTTTTTTTCTTTTCTTTTTCTTTTCTTTTTCTTAGGTTGTTTGGACAGGGCTTTTATTTTTATTTTATTGGGACAGAGTTGACTTATTAGTCAACTAATAATAAGTCCGTACTTCTTCAACGAATTTTACAAATAGATGATTTCAAATGCATGAAAAACAAAAGTATTCCCTGGTTAAAAGGAAACGTAATTTCCCCCAAGGGAATGATTCCTAAATAAAGAAAAGCCTATATTTGTGTGACTCTTCAGGGCCCTAAACTGGAGAGAACGCTCACAGCAGTATCAAGACACAGACATAGTGAGTGTAGAATTTCTCAATAAAAATATAATCCTTGGAGAGGCCACTTAAATCATATGAGAACTTTTTTAAAAAATGAAAATTGCCAAACTCTCAATTATTCTTCCTCAAATTATAAAGACTTGCTAAGACTAAATCGTAGGAACAAAATATATTCTTTCTTAACCAATGAAAATGGTGTCAATGGACAGTCATCTAGAGCTAGATACAAATGAAAACTCTATTTTCCTGCTATAATGTGCACATATGTCCCATGAAACAAGCAACATCCAATCGCTACCCTATCCCCAAGTCTGTCTCTGATCCTTCAATACTCCACACAAGCCAACACTGTGTCAGGTCTATAATGCCTAGATTTTAGAGGGATTTTGCTTACTGAACAGGTAATTTAAGATTTCTTTATACATAAGGATTGGGGAGGAGGCACGCTTCTTAGATTATACCAAAAGTCAATTAGGCCTTCAGGTGAATTTTGACACTGAATTTTAACATTAAATGTAGATGTAAACAATGCAAAGTAGTATTACGGTAGGTTTAATAGGATATACAAGTCAAGAGAAGAACAATGATGGGTCCTATTGACCCTACCGAGGGTCAGCTGTAGGGTTAGTTTTCCAGCAGGGCTATCCTTCGGTTTTAATAGCTCTGAACAACACATGGTGTCATGCAAACCACCACCCCTGTTGCAAAAAACAACTTAAAGCACATACCTAGACAGCATGTCTGTGGTTTTCCATTGAAAGTGCCGTATTTCCTTCCAACTTTATCTAAACCACCATCCATGTGTTACTCGTTTGCTAGCAACCAGGCTCCCTGCATTCTAGAGCCAAAAGATACACCCTTTCTTTTTGAATTTTGCTGAAAAGATTTTTCTCTTTTGACAAGAAATGCCATCATGCAGAGGAGCACATTTATACCCATTCACAGTAAAGTTTACTCTTCCTGTAGGTCTTCAAGTGCTCCCTACTTCCTAACACAGGTAAAGGAAACAGACTCACAAAGTGCCTTGACACATTGTTGACACGCAGATGTAAATAATTGTAACAATGACACCCCAGGAAATGACTGAGCACCCTAGTCATCTTACAACCCTCACCAAACATGCTCTTGCTCACCTGTTCATCCTACTCAGGGTTAGCACAGTCAACTCTAACAGGAAGAGACTTCTTGGAACTTTCTTCCTGCATAGAACTTCTCAGTTTGGGGAGAAGGAAGGAAGAAAGAAACTTCTCAGTTTGACTATCACAGCACTTTAAGAAGAGGATTAAACTTATCCCATTGGATTTCCCCAGACTCTCAGGAAAAGAAGACATCCTAAAAATCATACAGTAATCCTATAGCTATCGGCTGCCCAATAAGATCCTAGCCATTTGCCAGCTGCACGAGGCCACTGACCATTTGAAACGTGGGTAGTCTGAACTCAAATGTACTCTAAGTATAAACATCAGATTTTATAGATTTAGTACAAAAGAATGTAAAATTATCTCATTCTTCACTTTCCAAACTGATTCCATTTGAAACTGTATGGGTTAAATAAAACACATTATTCAAATTAATTTCACTTGTTTCTTTTTTATCTTCTTAGCGTCACAAGAAAACTTTACATTGTTTATGTGGCTTGTGTTACAGTTGGATTGTTACAGACCTATCTTCCCTTACAGCCCTGCTTACAGACCTACAGCCTTAGTGCTGATAGCAAATAAAAACTATCTATCACTAGACATTTCCCAATTACAACTGCCATTTAAAAGCCAAAAGAAAAAGCAGTATTTTCCCTTCTCGATCAACTGAGATTACCAAAGATGACTTAAGTAAGAAGAGTGTAAAAATAGAATCACTTTGCCCTGACACCATTTTAAAGAAAGATCACTTACAAAGGCAAAAATAGCACAGGATGCAAAAACCACACCTCGAAGAAAATAAGATGGGAAATAAGCAAATCATGTTTTTCTAATAAAGTAGATCTGACTGCTGATTGTAAAGTACACCTTTAAAGGGAAATTAACATTTCTTTCATTTCCAGTACCAAGGGCCTCAGAAACCTCAAACGTGTAAGACTGTGTCTTTATTATTCAAGCACCTTCAACCGAACAACCAATAACACCATAAAAAGAGAAATAATTATCATCACCACATGCTCTTGTCCAAACAAGCAAACAAACAAACAAACCCACCAAACCAAAAACCAACGCAAGTCGAAAGCAAAAGAAACATCAGTTTCTCTAGGGCTGAGTAGGCTTCCTTTGGTCCACAAATCTTATGACATAAGAAAGCATATTTTAAAATAAATCTTTTGTACCACAATTTTTAAAAGTCTATTTTAAACACGAGAAATTCAACAACACATTTCTAGAGGCCAACGTTCCTTCTTCTATCATGACATCTTTCTTCTTTATTTGATTTAAAAATATTCAGGTCTCCAGGACTTTTAAGGAAAAAGAAATCCAGTGTATTTCTAAATCTACGAAAATATTTTTAAAAGGGTAGAGGAGGTGACATCTCTTTAAAGAACGGTGGGGAAAAGCTTCCTCGCGTGTTCAGAGCATGCAAGAATCACTTCTAGAAAACTGTCAATGGGGAAACCATATAAAAAAAGGATTTGAGGAAATTTAGACCAACGAGTCCCCACGGCTTCCACAACAGTCGAGCAGATACTTTCTATAGTGTCCTAACAAATTTATCAAACAACAACAACAAAAAGGCCATATTTGCTTCTCAATTTCTTTATCCATTTTGAGATCTATCAGCTGGGTATAATCCTCAGGCTTCAACCTGCCAGGTGATACATTCCTTAGAAACCTTTTTCTTGTGTACTTAAATACCAAGCTCAATTACGCCGCGAGCAGAGTAAGCAGAAAGGACTGTACATATTTTCACAGGGTGTTGATTGGATGCGGTTTCCTGTCCTGGTGTCAAGAGGGACGGGAACATCTCTTTCTGAGCATAATCCTTACACAGGGCCGTCACTCTCAAAGAATCGAGTCTTCCAACACTGCCCGAGAGGTCAAGAGACTGCCAACGTCTCCATGAGAGCATCCTATTTCTAGAGATTTTGGAACTGGTCCTCAAAATCGCATTCCGCGGCAAGTTTACCGAGGGATCAAAATAAGCATCCTAAGGTCGCAACCTTTCTAAGCCTAGAAAGGGATTTAAAGCTTTTACATCGTAATTAAAAAAAAATCAAAACCACCTTAACTTTAAATCTTATCAACACGCGGGTTACCAACGAACAGTAAGGTCACTACTGGCCCAGGAGGAGGTAAGGCAGGGAGACACCGGCGGCGCTCGGCGGAGGCGGGGGGCGCGGGGCGCAGGTACGCAGGCCACGCGGGGCCGCCCGCGAGGGCGCGGAGGCAGAGCCGCGGCCGCGGGCTGCCGCCGGGGGAGGAGGCGCGGCGCGGACGCCCGGCCCGGCGGGCGCAGGGGGCGCGGGGCCACAAGTCGCCGGGAGCGCAGAGGCGGCGCGCAGCGCGGGGGAGGCGCGCGGGGGTCCCGGAGCTTTCCACCCCCGCCGCTGCCCCGCACCGCTCTCCCTCTCCTCACCTGGGAGTCGGAGGCGACCGGAGAGCTACGGCCGCGCGCCGGGTCTGTCTCCAGCCCCGCTTGCTGACATGGCGGCCGAGGCGCTGTCACAGAGTCTGCACCGGTCTCCCGCCGCTCCCGTGGAGGAGACACCTCCTACCTTCCCGCCCCGCCTCCCTCTGCGCACCCTTCGCGGCGGGCCGGCGGGCGGCGGGCGGCCGGCGACCGCGGAGCATAGAGCGCGAGCGGCTAGAGAGGAAGCGCGGGGACAACCATAGAGTAACCAGTCCAGACGCAACCCGGATGCTCCGTCTCTCTCCGCGTCGGTCCACTCACAATCGTCTGGCGGCTGCACCCGGACGGAAGCGGAAGTGAGGGAAGTGGCAAGAAGGAGGAAGCGTTCGCATGCGCAGTTTGTAGCGTCTGGTACCGCTCGCTCTAGTGGGGTGGTAGGCGGGGGGTGGCACGTGGAGTTCCCTGTGCTGTGTTCGCGGACGATGTGACGACCTCGGGCGATTTTTGGGACCGACGTTACAGGGTGAGGATGTTGGTCCCGGTGGCGGGGCTTTCCCCGCGGCTGTTGCTGTCAGCCTTGACCGGCGCTGGTGGAGTTTGCGTTTTGGGGTCCGGAGCGGCGAGGTGGAAGGGCGTCCCGGCGCGGAACCGCCGTGGCTTGTCTGACCTCCGCCCGCAGCAGCTGCCCCGCCAGGGTTTAAAAGACTCGCCCTCGTGGATGCCCAAGAGACGCTCAGAGCCCCGCAGTTACATAACCAGTCCGAAGCTCGCCGCGACCTTGGCGCAGATACTGCTGGAAGAAGACGGAAACCCTCACCAGCTCTTCCTGGAGTGCAATCCAGGTGAGTCCGTCGTGGACTGCATTTCTAATGCCAACCTCTGTTGGTTGCGTACCGGGTGCTGTTTAAGACCTGGCCCCTTAAAGCGGCTTGCGTGGACAGTGTTAACCGTGACACCATGAACTGTCCTTGCAGCGAGTTGCACTTTACACAACATTTGATAATACATGCTCCTATGCTCTTAGATGTTACCGTCTCCTCAAAACACTTGGAAGCGCCCTCCGCCCCAGGAACTTTTATCTTCTGCATAGGTCTCCTGGAGACCGTAGCAGGATGTCAGGAACATAAGATTTATAGATTTTAAAACATACATAAATATAATGGAAGTGCGTGCAAGCAGGAGACGGGTAGAGAGAGGGAGAGAGTGAATATTAAGCAGGCTCCATGCTCAGTGCTGAGTCCCACACAGGGCTGGATCCCACGACCCTTGGGATCAGGACCTGAGCGGAAATCAAGAGTGTTCATCAAAATGCATAATAGAATTACCCACCCAGGGGTCCCCAAAACTACTTTTCTATTTTTTTTAAATCATTATCTTTGAGAGAGAGGGACAGAGGATGAGCAGTGGAGGAGCAGAGAGAGGGAGAGACAGAATCTGAAGCACGTTCTAGGCTCTGAGCTGTCAGCACAGAGCCCAGTTCAGGGCTAGAACCCAGGAACTGTGAGATCTTGACCTGAGCCACCAGGGCGCCCCCTTTTTAATTCTTTTTAAATGTTTGTTTTTGAGAGAGGGAAATAGTGTGAGCAGGGGAGGGGCAGAAAGAGAGGGAGACAGAATTCGAAGCAGGCTCCAAGGCTCCCAGCTGTCTGTGCAGAGCCAGATGTGGGGCTCAAACTCTTGAGCTGAGCCAAAGTTGGTTGCTTCACCGGCTGAGCCACCCGGGCACCCTCAGAAGTACTTTTTTTAAAGTTAATTTTTTACACCCAACGTGGGGCTCGAGCTTACAACCCTGAGATCAAGTGTCTCACAAATTTCTGAGTGAGCCAGCCAGGCGCCCCTGAAAACTACTATTTTTTTTAAGTAGCACATTTTGTCATGGGTCAGTTCTGATTAGGTTTGACAGTGTCTTTCGTGGTTAAAGTGTCTGGGCAGTCAGTGATTAAGTGATGTGCTGAAGGCACCTTTTCCTGCTCGTTTTTCCGAGACGTAAAACATGACGATTAAGAATGCAGGCTTTTCAGGCTTTGACAGAATGGATTCAGAGTCCAGCACAGTTGTGTCGAGGCAAATGATTTTTCTCTAATCCCCAGTTTCCTTACATGTGAACACAGAGTGTACTTTCTACTTTGGGGCTGTTGTAGAAATCAAAATTAAATAATACAGGTAAAACATCTACTTTAGTAAATTATATAGAAAGAAATTGTTTCTTTGGCAAATAAATGTTTCGTTTTGTTAATACACTAGGTCCCGGAATCCTGACTCAAGCATTACTTGAAAGCCAGGCCAAAGTGATTGCCCTTGAGTGTAACAGAACGTTTCTTCCACATTTGGAGGTATACTTTTAGTTTCTAAAAATAATTTATTGTTCAGCTATCTTTGAGTATTTAGGGAAGTAAGAATTAAGCACACACTTTATTTTTTTAGACTCACTTTTAGGGGTCATCCTGTACGTGTATTGTTATCCACAGGGACTAGAGCATAGCATAGTATCAGTAGTAAGTGGTAATATCACAGTATCTACACTCATTGACTAAACGATTGGAGTTCTGAGGCTTGTTCTCTGGGTGTTACAGACTAGCTGGGTGACTGAACAAAGTAGAACTGGTGTCTCTAGGCTTTTCCCCTCATCTCTAGCAGGATATCCCGTGCCCTGCTTTCTGTGAACTTAGAGTCTAATTGGAGTGCTACGATTACGTTAATGGGACTCTGGATTTACGGTTTTATACGATCAAGGAAAGTGTTCACTTTGAAAATGGTTGAGTGAAAGGTGGAGGGTTGGGCGCTAGAAAGGTCATGACACGCAGTATTTCTTACAGGAATATTAATTATAAAATTTCTTTAAACAAACTACAACGTAAGCATAAAATCCATCACTTACTAAATCCAGTCTTTGATTAGACCTAGTTTGTGTTTCAGTTCAAGCTTTTATTTTCTTTCTGATTCCTTTCCCCCCCTCTGCTCAGTACTAACTGAGCTGAGCCCTTAGTACATGTTCTCTCACTCTTACTAACCATCATATGATGGAATGAAAGGCCATTCAAATAAGGTTTGGTGTGAATTCATCTATTTGCCAGAATAAAAGAGAAGGAACCATTTAAATAGAAGTTTTGTGGCCCTAAATCCCTGCTTTAAAGTGGTGGTCTTCACAGACCATGCTTCTAGCCACCCAGAGTTTGCTCCTAAAAACTGAAAAGATTTTCAGGGATGATGAAGGCTTAAGATTCTTATCTTTCTCTCCCTCTCCCTCATAAAATTCCCAGGACTCCACATTAACAGTGTTTCAAGCAGGAGCAGTTTGCCAGTCTGGATGTGCTAGAGATAGACTTTTCAAATTGTATCCAATAATGATAAGTCTTAATATATCTCTATTGAAAGTGGAAACTGTTGAGGCAGAAAGAGCTGTACATGACATACTCAGTTGAAGAGAGCTCAGCTTTTGTGGTAAGCTGTGTGGCATTTCAGCAGAGATGGAATACAGTCTTCAAATCATCCTGAAGGTCAGCCCAGCTCTCACTACCTTTGAGACTCTTAGGCGATTAAGTAATTTAACCTGTTTGACTTTGGTTTTTCTTTTTTCTCTTACATAAAATAGAGACAGTAATACCACTTGTAAAGAATCTTGTTGCAGTTGAAATAAGATAAACTGCTTCCTGTCTCTGAATCTTAAATGCAGTCAACTTGAGTTTTAAAAGGTGATTTCACTATTACTGTGGAACTGAAATTATTTTGGAGTTTTGGCTGTTATTGTCATTACCATTATTGCACGGTAAGCAACAGATGCCAAAACAAACATGCACTTTCAAAATACGAGAGGAGCAAAGTCTCTTTTGTTTGTTTATTTTTGAGAGAGAGACAGAGACTTTCCCCTCACAGAGCTCGAGCAGGGTAGGGGCAGAGAGAGGGAGACAGAATCTGAAGCAGGTTCCAGCCTCTGAGTTGTCAACACAGAGTCCAGTGCGGGGCTTGAACTCACGAGCCGCAAGATCATGACCTGAGCTGAAGTCAGACGTTCAAATGACTGAGCCACCCAGGCGCTCGGAGAAGAAAGTCTTAAAGTGTGCATTCTTACATTCTTATCAAACTAAAATCCGTTAGCTTTTATTAGTTACAAAGATCAAAATGTGACACTTGAATAACTTGTGAGGTTACTTTATTGCTATATATAGAGCAGCTTGTAGGCCTTTCAAGGGAAGCTGTGAGATATCCATCAGTGAGAGTGCTTTTTCTCTGGCTGTCCTAACACCACACTCTTCTGGTTTTCTTCCTCCCATTTTTGCCTTCTCAGCCTCTCATGAGACTTTGGACTAACTCTATCCTCAGGTCTCCTCTTCTGTGATTCTCCCTAGGGGGCCTCCTCTGCACCCCTGGCTTTGATAACCTTCAGCACGCCAGTTCTCACCACTTTATGTCGTTAGCCTGGACCACTCCACTGACCTCCCCACTGAGGCCCACAACTTCCTACCTGGTGTCTCCACTCGGACCGCCTAACGGGTGTCTCAGGACACCCGTGCTCGGACACGAGCAAAAGTGGATGATTTCCACCCCAGGCTGTTCCTTCCACTCATCTCATTCTCAAGGGTGCCTCATTAGAGTTTATTAGAGTCAGAAATAAAATAACATTTAGAGGTTGAAATCAAACACTTAAGAATAGTTAGGTTTGGTTTCTGTTTCAACTCCGGTCATGATCTCACAATTCGTGGATTCGAGCCCCGCGTCGGACTCTGTTCTGACAGCTCAGAGCCTGTTGCCTGTTTCAGATTCTGTATCTCCTTCTCTCTCTGACCCTCCCCTGCTCACACTGTTTCTCTCTCTCTCAGAAGTAAATAAAAACAAAAAAAAATAAAATGCACATTCCTGAAACATTGATATACATCAACAGAACTTTCTGTGCATGAGAGCTTCAGTGTGTGTAGCACATCATAGTGCCCTCCTTGATTTTTTGTAACTTCAGAGTAGAGAAAGTAAAAGGATGAGTAAGAATTTCTTGAAGGTTTTTTGTTTTGGGGGCTTTTTCTTAGTAATATTGTATGCTCATCACTTTTTGGGCATTAATTAATTTCTCTTAATTATGTTACTACATTTTAGGGTACATTTCTTGAAGTAGATCTTTGAATTGTTACCAAGTCTGCATATCACTGAAAGTCTTAAACACGTTCTCTCTGTCTCTTTAGTTGCTGCGAAAAACGGTGAATAAAAATCTAGAAGTGGTCCACTGTGACTTCTTTAAACTGGATCCTAGAAATTCTGGAATAGTGAAACCTCCCATTATGCTTTCTGAAACGCTTTTTCA